AAGATCAGGGGCAGGAGTAATTTTGAAGGGACCTGGAACGCAAAAGATTGTGATGCAGTTACAGAGGGAGGAGATGACCCACAATTATGCTGAGTATGAGGCTTTGATTTTAGGGCTAGAAATGTTAGTGGCGAAGAATGTTCAGTTGGTCGTCATTTATGGGGATTCATAGTTGATAATTAACCAAGTTCTGAGGTGATACGTATGCAATTACCCTCATTTGTGTCAATACAGAGACGTGGTGCACCGTTTACTTTCTATAATTGCAGAAGTAACTGTCGAACACATCCCAATGGCAGAAAATTAGCAGGCAGAAAATTAGCAGGCAGACAGTCTGGCCCAGGATGCATGCAGGCAGATTAATGTTGAAAATAATGTCTACAGACTGGAGAACTAAGATTATCGCCTATATGCTAGCACCAGACCCATCAACACCTATAGGGATCTGGTTAAAAGCTCTGCGTTTCCGGTTAGTGAAGGGAGTGTTATATAAGAGAACCATAGAGGAGGTTTTGCTAAGATGTTTGGGTCCAAGAGAATCCTTGGAGATAATGCAGGAGGTCCATAGTTGAATATGTGGAGCACATCGAGGGGGTCTTAACATGAGATGGGCTATTCATCGCATGGATTTTTACTGGCCAAAAATATTTGAGGATTGCATCAAATTTGCAAGGGGATGCCAAGAATGTCAGAGACATGGCCCATTGAATCATCTGCCGTCGGTGGAACTACAGGCGATGGTTAAACCATGGCCTTTTAAATCTTGGGCACTCGACGTTATTGGTAAAATCCACCCCGCTTCATCAAAACATCATTCATAGTGGCGACAAATTATTTTACCAAATGGATCGAAGCGGTTCCTTTGAAGAATGTGACACAAAAAGAAGTGATTGAGTTCGTGCTCAATCATATCATTTATCGGTTTGGAATCCCACATACTCTCATCACTGACCAGGGTTTGGTGTTCACAGGCCAGAAGTTTATTGAATTTTTGGCAAGTTTTCACGTGAAACTTCATCATTCCTCACCTTATTATCCACAGGCCAACCGGCAGACTGAGGCAGCAAACAAGATCATTATTAATATTATTCGAAAAATGATAGAAGGAAAACCCAGAAAGTGGCATACGTTGCTACCCCAAGCTTTATGGGCTCACCGGAACAGTAAGAGTTCATCCATAGAATTTTCTCCTTTATCAGCTCATGTTTGGTCAGGATGCTGTACTTCCAGCCGAACTCAACATACACACTTTCCGAGTGGCTCACACTAGTATGGACCACACGATGGAATATTAGCAAAGTATGATGCAACAACTGGAGACGGTGCATACAGAACGCATGGAAGCCTTGGAACAGATGATCCGGCAGAATGAAGTACGGGCGCGATATTATGGGAAGAAGGTTCTCCTCGAACTTTTTCGAAAGGAGATCTGGTATGGAAAACAATATTACCCACATACAAAGAAGTTGATCAGTTGGGTAAATAGTCCCCGAATTGGGAGGGGCCTTTCATCATTCACAAAGAGATCGGCAATGGAGCTTTTATTATTTTGAATCAGGAAGGTAAATTGGTACATGAAAATACTAACACCAAGTATCTTAAAAGCTATTTTCGTGCCTTTTTAGAGCACTGTCGTTAATTTTTATTGCAAAAAATCTAAGAACCCTTTGAGGGTTTGAACCCACATGAAAGGGTTTTATTTATCATCTGAAAGGGTGATGCAAACATGATCATCTTCTGGTTCAGAATCTTCGTCCTAATTGGCATTGAATGCCAAATAAATGCTCGAATCAAGGCCCTAGGCATTGGAAAAATCATCATCACCTACAGAAAGGAAAGACAAGCAAATAATCACACAAAAAAAAATAATAATAATAAAAATGCAAGAGAAAACAGGAAATAAAATAAGATTGGGTTGCCTCCCAAAAGCGCTTTTCTTTAACGTCTTCGGCTAGACATTATTATAAATTGCGAAATTAAATTAAGGGATCCTCAATGGCCATCCAAACCATGTCCTCAGCTTCAACGCCCTCTAGATAGGGTTTCAATCGATGGCCATTCACCACAAATTTCTTTTCAGTCTTTGAGCTTTGAATTTCAACTGCACCATAAGGCAAAACATTAGTAATAAAAAAAGGACCAATCCATCTGGAACGTAACTTACCGGGAAAAAGCTTGAGCTTAGAATTATAAAGAAGCACTTTCTGACCGACTTTTTCCTTAATATTCGTTGGTCATGAAAGGCTTTCGTTTTTGCTTTGTACGTCAAGGCACTCTCATATGCCTCATTCCGAATCTCCTCCAATTCCTGCAACTGTAACTTTCTATGTGTTCCCGCTTCGTCAATAATCATGTTGCATTTTTTTACTGCCCAAAAAGCACGGTGCTCAAATTCAACAGGAAGATGACACGGCTTACCGAATACTAACCTATATGGCGACATTCCGATAGGCGTCTTGTAAGCGGTGCGGTAAGCCCATAGTGCATCTAGGAGGTGGAGACTCCAGTCCTTCCTATCCGGTCGAACAGTCTTTACAAGAATAGATTTGATTTCTCGATTCGACACCTCCGCTTGACCATTTGTTTGAGGATGGTATGAGGTCGAAACTTTATGCAACACGCCATACTTCTTGAAGAGAGCGGCGATGGTTTTGTTGCAAAAATGGGTTCCCCTATCGCTCACCATAGCCCTAGGCATTCCAAAATAAGTGAATACGGTGGACTTAATAAAATCTGCAACCACTTTAGAATCGTTAGTCCGGGTGGCTTTTGCTTCTACCCATTTCGAAACATAATCAACGGCGAGAATGATATATGAAAATCCATGGGACATGGGAAATGGGCCCATAAAGTCGATACCCCATACGTAAAAAATTTCAACAAATAACATTGGTACCTGAGGCATCTCGGCTCGAGAGGAAAGATTACCTACACGTTGGCAATTGTCGCATGACTTGCAAAAGGTGTAGGCATCCTTGAACAATGTTGGCCAATAGAACCCGCTATCCAAAACTTTCTTTGCCGTTCGTTGGGAACCAAAGTGTCCCCCACAATTAAGGGTATGACAAAATCGAAGAATGGATTGGTGCTCACCTTCTTGCACGCATCTTCACAAAATTTGATCCGAGCAACGCTTCCACAAGTAAGGGTCATCCCAGATGTAGTACTTTGCGTCGCTTTTGAGTTTGTCCCTCTTAGCTTTTGGCCAACCTGCAGGAAACGCTTTAGTTACTATATAATTAACTAAATCAGCATACCATGGAATACAATAATCAACTTGAAGGAGCAATTGTTCATCCGGGGCTGTCTCCTTTAGTGGTAAATCCTCATTGTTGGCACAAGGGAGACGACTCAAATGATCGGCGACAAGGTTCTCCGACCCCTTTTTGTCCCGAATCTCCAAATCAAATTCCTGTAAAAGCAATAGCCATCTGATAAGTCTTGGTTTCGCTTCCTTTTTTGCCACTAAATATCGTAATGCTGCAAGATCAGAAAAAATTACTACTTTAGTACCCAACAAGTAAGAACGAAATTTTTCTAATGCAAAAACTACTGCTAATAACTCATTTTCGGTAACAGTGTAGTTCAATTGAGCTCCACTCAAGGCTTTTGAGGCGTAGTAAATGGCGTAGGGACTTTTTCCTTCCCGTTGACCTAACACCGCTCCAACCGCAACATCGCTTGCATCGCACATTACCTCAAATGGTAGCTCCCAATTAGGGGGCGCACGATTGGCGGCGATGACAAAGACTCCTTAAGTGTGTCAAGTGCTTTCTTGCACGCCTCGGTGAAATCGAACACCGCTCCTTTTTGTAGTAGCTCAAATAATGGGCATGCTATTTTTGAAAAATCCTTGATGAACCTTCGGTAGAAACCTGCATGACCCAGAAAGGAACGTACCTCTCGAACGCAAGTAGGATATGGTAACATGGAAATTAGATCGACCTTCGCCTTGTCCACCTCGATGCCTTGTGACGATACAACATGGCCCAAAACTACTCCTTGTTCTACCATAAACTGACATTTCTCCCAATTGAGTACTAAATTCACTTCACAACATCTTTCCAAAATCAAAGATAGATTAGCAAGACAACTACCGAAGCTATCCCCGTAAACACTAAAATCGTCCATGAATACTTCAATAATTTTCTCAACATATTCAGAAAAAATACTTAACATGCACCTTTGAAATGTCGCCGGGGCATTGCAAAGACCGAATGGCATTCGTCTATAGGCAAACACTCCGAATGGGCATGTGAATGATGTTTTCTCTTGATCTTCCGGGGCGATAGCAATCTGAAAATATCCTGAAAAACCATCTAGAAAACAATAGTGAGCTCGACCAGCTAATCTTTCAATCATTTGGTCAATAAATGGGAGAGGAAAATGATCTTTCTTTGTCACGGCATTAAGCTTACGATAATCGATGCATTGCCGCCAACCAGTTTGCTTTTTTACCGGAATTAACTCACCATTTTTATTTGTCTCTGCGGTTACCCCGGACTTCTTAGGAACAACTTGGATTGGACCTATCCAAGGACTATTGGCAATAGGAAATATGATTCCTGCATCCCGGAGTTTGAGGACCTCCTTCTTAACAACTTCTGTCATGATTGGATTCAACTTTCTTTGGCCCTGCCTCACCGGCTTTGCGCCTTCCTCAAGTGTAATCTTATGCGTGCAAAATAAGGGGCTTATACCTTTGATATCCGCTATCATCCATCCTATCGCTTGTTTGTGTTTTTTTAGCACTTGAATCAATATTTCCTCTTGTTCCGTCGTCAACTTCGATGAAATGATCACCGGAAGGGTCTCATTTTCTCCCAAATAGGCATACTTCAAATGGCTCGGCAGTGGTTTCAATTCCAACTCCGGCGGCTGCACAATCGAAGGCAATAAATGTATATTAGTCTCGGGTAAGAATATAGGAGCAAGGGCATACCTGTGTGAAACTAAAGTTGTAGCTTCTAAGGCTTGCATCACTTCCAACAAATCTGGACTTAATCCTCGAGTAGGCATGCTTTGAACCTCCAAGTGTTCGTGAGCACCACTTCGAGTGCATCGTCACCCCTCAACTCAAAAGCATCCTGCACTTCAAGATCAATAACATCTAACGAGAAAACAGAGTGAGGATCTAGAGGATATTTAATCGCATCAAAAATTTTGAATTCAATTTTTTCCCCATCAAATTCCATCGTCAAAATTCCATTCTTTACATCAATCTTAGTATCCGCCATACACATAAAAGGCCTTCCTAAAAGTAGTGGTGATGGGTTGGGCGAATGTTCATCATGCATTTCTAAGACATAGAAGTCAAGTGGGAAAATTAATTCATTGACTTGGACAAGGACATCCTCTATAATTCCTTCGGGATATGCATGCGTCCTATTAGCAAGTTGAATAATAATCCCGGTTTTCTTTAGCGGTGCAAGATTTAAACAGTTATAGATTGATTTTGGTATGACATTAATTGCCGCACCCAAATCTAACATAGCATGCTTGACTTCTAGTTGCCCTATTTTACATGGGATTGTGAACATACCCAGGTCTCCGCACTTCGGTGGAATCTTTCTTTGGAGGAGGGCCGACACATTTTTGCTTGCGATGATGCATTCATCGCCCTTCAACTTCCGTTTGTTGGTACACAACTCCTTTATGAACTTTGCATACTTTGGAATTTGGTGGATTGCGTCCAATAGGGGTATATTGAGCTCGACCTTTCGAAAAATCTCAAAAATCTCATTATCCCTTTTTGGCTTTATCGGCTTTGCCAACCTGGACAGAAAATGGGCAAGATTAGTATTTAATTTAGTGACAGTTTTATCAATTACCTCATTTTTCTTTGCATCTTCCTTCTTGATTCCCTTTTCAATCGTGCTCTCGTCTTTGTCCTTCGGGATGATTGGTTCCGGAGTCCCCACCATCTTCCCGGTTCGCAAAGTCATGGCACTAACATTCTTTGGGTTCCTTTCCGGTTGTGATGGCCATTTCCCCGTCTCCCTTTCCTTAACATGACGAAGATCCGCCGCTATTTGCTCCACACGAGATTCAAGATTTTGAATGCTCGCCCTCGTATCTTGCTGGAATTGGATTGTGTTAGCGGCCATGGTCTTCATCATTTCCTCCAGTGAAGTATTGGATTTGGAAGGCGGTGGTGGTGGTTGGGCAAATTGTTGCGGAGGTGCTTGTGGCAGGAACCCTTGATGGTGTGAATTTCCATACCTGAGATTCGGATGATCCTTCCACCCTGGGTTGTAGGTGTTTGAATAGGGATCATATTGTGGGCGTCTTGGTTGGTTGAAACCTGCTGCCTTCACATCGGCATGACTGTCTTCATGCAGGGTAGGGCATGCATCAGTGTGATGCTCCGAACTCGTGCAAATTCCACACGCTTTCACATGGCGTGTGTTTGCTGTAGCCAATTGATGAACAACTTTTGTAAGTTCAGATATTTGTTGTCGAAGAGAATTGTTACCTTCCGAATATTCGACTCCTCTTGTTCCGAATTGTTGCGAATTCTCTGCCATCCTTGCGATCAACTCCCATGCACCTTTCGGGGTTTTATCCGCCAGTGCTCCTTTGCTAGCGGCATCAATGTTGTTCCGGTCTCGCATGCCCAGTCCTTCATAAAAGTATTGGAGCAAAAGTTGGTTAGTGATTTGGTGTTGCGGGCATCGCGCACAAAGCCTGTTGAACCTCTCTAGGTATTCGTGCAACGTCTCTCCTTGTTGTTGCTTGATTCCGAAAATTTCTTTGCGTAATGTCGCCGCCCGCGATGCCGGAAAATACTTCTCCAGAAATTTCTTTTTCATGTCCCTCCAAGTAGTCACGCTTCCCGTTGGTAGAAAAAATAGCCAAGTCCGGTGGCTGACCAAGTAGCTAATCGCATGGAAGCTGTTATTAGTCCGATGCCTTGGATCTTGAAGTTCGACGGGTCCAGCACGGAGACTAATGCTGGGGCTGGGGTATTCATTGAGAGTCCCTGGGGACAAAAGTGGACTGTTGCCAGGTCATTAACACCCGGATTCACTAACAATCAAGCAGAATATGAAGCCTTATTAGTTGGATTGAGAATCCTACATAAAAAGGGGCTAAGGCGATCAGAGTTCAAGGCGACTCACAACTAATTTTGAAGCAGATTACTGGAGAGTTCCAATGCAAAGATGAGAGGATGAGAAATCTTCGAATGGAAGCAGTTAGGATATTGCAAACTTTCAACGATGCGGTGGTGGAATTCATACCTCGAGCCGAAAACAGAATAGCTAATGATTTGGCTCAAAAAGCATCAGGGTACAAGTCATCAGTCGCAGGAAACTTCAAATAAGGTTGAGTACATCTGTACCCAGTGGATGCGGAAGACTGGCGTATGGAACTGAGGAAATATTTGGAACAACCAACCGGTGAAACTCTGGAAAAGCTGCGGAAAGAGGCTCTGAAGTATACTCTGATTGACGGAGATCTTTTCCGCAGAGTCACCGATGGAATGTTAATGAGATGCGTAGATAATCAAGAAGCCATAAAGGTGATGGGTGAGGTGCATGAAGGAATTTGTGGAGCACACAAATCCGGGCCAGTCATGAGATTGACGATCCGACGATATGGGTATTTCTGGCCATCAATGACGGAGGATTGTATCAAGTACACTCAAGGATCTGAAGTGTGTCAGTGACATGGTCCTTTGATCCGAATTCTGGCGGAAAAATGCACGCAGTGGTGAAACCATGGCCATTCCGGGGATGAGCGATGGATATCATCGGGAATATCCACCCGCCATCTTCCAGACGCCAGTCGTTCATATTGGTGGCCACGGATTATTTCACAAAGTGGGTAGAAGCTGTGCTGTTGGCTAATATGACGTATCAGGAGGTGATCAAGTTCGTTAAAGAGCACATTATTCACCGATATGGAATCCCACAGACGATCACCGCCGATCAAGGTACTGTTTTACCAGCGATAGAGTGGCCGCCTTCGCCGCACAGTATGGGATCGCTCTTTTGCATTCGTCCCTGTATTATGCGCAGGCAAATGGGCAGGCCGAAGCAACCAACAAAGTCTTAATTGGGGTAATAAAAAAGGCCGTAGAAGATAACCCGAGAAGATGGCACGAAGTGTTAGGGGAGGCCTTATGGGCTTGCAGCTAATACTGAAATAAAGCCACTGGTTGCACTCCATTCCAACTGGTTTATAGACAAGAAGCGATATTGCCGTTGGAAATCACGGTGCCATCGCTACGAGTGTTGAAGCAGAATTCGCTTAGTCCCGAACAGTACGATACAACGATGTTACAAAGATTGGATGACGTACACGAGGACCAGATGATGGCTCTGGAAAATATTAGGGCAAATAAAGTGAAAGAGGCGCGAGCCTACAACAAGAAGATACGTCGGCGAACATTCCGAGAAGGAGATTTGGTATGGAAGGCGGTGCTACCCGAAGGATGCAAAGACAATACATTCGGGAAATGGTCTCCTAGATGGGAAGGTCCGTATCAAGTGAGTAAAGTGTTACCTAACGATGCTTATAGATTGATGAATATTGATGGGACAGAACATAGAAACGTTATCAATGCTAAGCACCTTAAGGGATACATGTCGCCACTCGAGCTCGGGTAAAGAAATTTAATATGCAAAATGAAAGCAGGCCCTGTTTAGGCCGCTAGATATAAAGCAAAACGAAAGCAGGCTATTAAGCCGCTAATATGTAAAACGAAAGCGGGCTATTAAGCCGTTAATATGCAAAATGAAAGCAGGCTAGCAAGCCGTTAATATACAAAATGAAAGCAGGCTAGCAAGCCGCTAATATGCGAATAGAAACAAAACGAAAATGAGCCATCGTAAATGGCCGAATGAGTAGTAGATCATAAAATCCAAATAAAACGGCGAGTGGATCAAAGAGAGGCGGATGGTTCCCAAAATTAACACACTGCAGGAGGAATATCTTCTGCTACTGGGTCCACAGTGGGTTTAGAGTTATCAAGACCAGGTACGGTGTCCTTGGGAGTTGGATCTGCCAGGACTGGGATCGGATCTTCCACAGACGGAGCCGTTCCATCAAGGCTTGACGCCGCTCTCTTAGGGACTGAATCCGTCGGAGTTGAACTCAAATTTTCCGAATCTGGAGCTAATCCAGTAGGTCCTGGAACCGCTACCACGGGGATTGGACTTGTCGGGGGCGGAATCGGATGTTCGATAGTTGAAGATGTTCCACCAGGAACTGGCACCGCTTCCACTGGAGTTGAAACGTCTAAGGTCGGGGCTGCTCCATCAACGATCGGAATTGTACCTGTAGAAATGAGACCCCTCGAATATAAAGTTGTTCCACTAGAGCTTGAGGCTGCACCTGCTAAGGCCGAGCCCTCTGGGATCGATGCTACTTCCTTGGAGACGGGGACTGATGAAGTCGAAGGCAATCCGGAGGCATTATGGTCTGCTGCCACTTCTAAAGCCGACATCAAATCCCTCACAACGTGAGCAATAGACACTTGGACGTCGGCAACAGTCTGCAATGGAGGTTCAGCTTGGGAAACCATGGGAGTACCAGACACGGGAGCAGAGGGTGATGTACCCCCTACATGTTTGTCATCAGAACCTGGAGATGGTGAAGAAAACACCTGGGCTGAAGGTTTGCAAACTGCCCACAAAGAGGCCAGGGCCCCCCATTCCGACTCCAACTCCTTCAAAGTCGCCTCCCCGTTGGTGAAATTAAACTCGTATAGGACCTTTTTCTGCGACAAAGCGGCTATGGGGGCATCTAGACGCTGGGACTTCTTGTACAAGTCAGCTTGTATTCGACGTTTCTCCGCCAATAGCCGTTCCAAGCCCGCAATTTTGGGGCCTAATTGGGCGAGCCGAGCTTGGAGACGAGCCACCTCGGCTTGTTTTGGTAGCTGTTCGGCGCGAGAGGCTTCAAGCCGGCTCGAAGCATCGGAAGCTTCATCTTCAGTATGCAAAAATTCATCTTGCAAGGATTGTTTTTTATCCCGCAGCGTTCCCAGTTGATCCAAATGCGTCCTCCCGAAATCTCGGTTCTCTTCCGCCATCCTACGGCGTTGGGCGAAAGTGTTCACTTTGGAAGATAAGCTGACCCATTGCGCACGAATAGACTCAGGAAGATTTGCATAGGAAGGAGATTCCGCCAAATTCAATAGAGCCAGTTGGATGGAACTTAAAGTTTCATAATCTCCCGGAGACGCCCCCAAACAGGCAGTGACAAATTGTTCATCCATCCCTTCGGGGAGCTGACCAGCAAAGGCAGAGACAGATGGTGCACCTTGATGTCCAATGAAATACTCCCAAATACGCTCTTGACTGATAACGGAATCGGAAGCAATGCGACCCGCATGAGGTGGGGCAGGAGTAAGGTCTGGAGGTGGAAAGGGAGTATTCGACGTTCTCGAAGATACATGCTGATAAAAGAGGTTAGCGAATATCATTCTAATATGAGTGTGAAGGGAAATGCAACTTAGGTAATGAGAACACCTTGGACACAGACGTTTTCGGCGGACGAACCTCCGAAGGGAGATTCACCGTAGGATAAGCTGTGGTCTTAGCCGCAGGAGTTCCCTCAACACCTTTGTGCACCTTCTTAGCAGGCTGGATACAACAATACATACGAGTGAGAAAATCATGAAGTGATCTTGGAAAATACATGGAAATGGATATGAACTTGGATGTTGGGAGAAATGGTTGCACGACGCTTCTCCGAAGGCTTTAGGGTAGCAGCTCTGGCTTTGGCATGTCGGGTTGATCTACATACGGGGAAAGACTCTGTCACTGCGAACACAACAAGGATTACCTGACATTTATTGATCAAAGCTAAAGGAAGGGATGAACACCTACCTTCGATGATCTCAGGAGCCGCACTTTCGACCTCCTCGACGGTAGTGTCAGCTGGTTCACTTTGATGGTCAGAATCAATATCGATAAAACGGCATAACCAGGAAGCCGAAGGCTCCGCAAAAAGAACGTCCTTTAAGGACGCCCACCAGTTCGAAAATTCCGAACCAACGGAAGGCTTGGTTTAAAAAACAGGAAGGGGTGAGTCCTCAATGGCCGCATTCAAGCCTCGGAACATATCAAGACCTTCAGAGGTCACATCCTTCACTACCAGCGGGAAGGGCCCTCGACAATGGAAACAATACATTGGGACAGTCTGTCGGAGTCCGAATTGGCGTGCATACAACTACGGGAAGTAACCTTCCACCCCAACGGGTAAAGAAAGAGATATAGGCCTTAGACCCAACAACAAAGGCCTTGCAGTCAGAACTTGATTCCATGACAAAGTAATGGAAGACCAATCAAGGGAGTCATTCTCTTTCATCGGCGGGGGCTTGGAGAACCAATCAGGCCCAGACGATCGTTCCGGTAGAGGGAAGAATCGTGCATCCTCACGTTCGCCGGACAATAAGAAAAAATTAGCAATCTGGAAAGCATTACGGGAACATTCAAATCCATATAAAAACACGCCAATACGATCTTCCTTCAGAATTTGGAACGGCCACGGTATTTCGAATAGCTCTGGAAACATATAAGCAGCCTAAAGCTGAAGAAACCACAAGGGTCCCCTTTGGGTGGATACGCGTTCCTCACGACTCAGGCGGGCATAAAGATCGTTAAGGGTCCGATACAAATATCCTAAGAAGAACTGAGCAAGCGCCAAATTGTCACCCTCCATTATCGACGCTACCAAGGGCTCATAGTCCCTAACCAAATTCCTACCAGCTGTGCCTATGAAAAAGCGATTCACCCAGAGCATGAAGAAAGTCCTATGGTTGTCTAGCAAATTGGTTTTGGAGCTCGGCGCGCCATACTTCCCATAAAGCAGGGCACTCGAGCTAGACTTCGAATAGTCTATACCAAAATCTACGGCATTCGATGGAGGAGGAAAAAAAGCATAATCATCCCCTGTTACAGGGAGACCTAACAGCAGTGCAATGTCAAGTAATGTAGGCGAAATCATGCCGAAAGGAAAACAAAATCCGTTCACTGCTGGACACCAAAAACCTAAGAGCACGAAAAGGAGGTCGGGATGGGGATGAGAAACCTGTGTGCTAACGGTGATTATGTCGTCAATCCCCCAAGCTTCCTACTAGGTATCGACCGCGCTGCCAAGGGTCGCCGTCCATTCTTTGAAAGTTGCGCCGTCGGGATATCTGGTCAAGACCCTTCCTTGTCGAAGAGCCAACGAGTAAAATGGTTTCGTGATCAACAAGGGGGACGCACCGTCGCCGGCAAGGACTCGTCGGAGTTCCTCCTTTTGGAGATCTGTTTCTGCCGCCGGCGTCAGCACCCATGAACTCCCATCATCGGACGGGCGCAAAAGCTCCTCGATCGGCATCGAGTAGCGGATCAGACACGGGACCGCCGTTAGTGGTGAAGGTTCAGATACACTACCGGAAGGAAGGGCTGTCGAAGAAGCCATACGGCTTGAAGCTCGCGTTCACCAAACAAGACAAATCCTTCGAAGGAAGAGGGGGGAAGAAACGAAGGGAAGTGGAAACGGAGAAGTAATGTTAAACCCTTAAGAAAAACCCTTGAATGTCTTTTCTTCCTCAGATGATGCGGGAATCGAAGGAAGCTACTGTCACATCAAGGCTGAAGGGCTTTACGCAAGATATCAAATTGGGAGGAATATTGTGTTAAGGCCCAAGACGGTAAATCTCACACGAAGGAAATCCCAAAAAGAGAGCAAAGATTCACGTAGCTTATATTTCATCTCTTTTTGAGGAGGGCAATTGTTGGACCCCAAGTCCAAAAGGATTTTAATGTCGAAGGTAAGGACTTCCATCAGGCTACGGAGCTTCCATGGAGCAAGAATATATGACTTCCATAGACCTTCGGACGACAAGCTCCATCAACTTTGAATCGGCAACCTCATGATACTAATGGAAGATCATGAAGAGTGAGGGTTCCATGTAACTCAAGGCTGTTAGGAGCACATTCCCGTAGACCGGCTGGCAGTATGATGGAAACGAATCAGGGTAGGCTGCATGTCTGATCTGAAGGCAATGGAAGAGATCCAAAGCGAATGGAACTTGTTCCAGGAACGATGGAAGATGATCAAGACGAATGGAACCCGGTCCAGGAGCAATGGAAGCCGTTGGGAACTGATGGAAAGAGGTTACTTGGTGATTAAGAGAGATAGAAAGCAGTGGAAGAATAATTGTAACCACCCCTGTTAGTGGGAGAAGTGGCTATTCTAGCCTAGAACTACAATTAGGAAAAAGAAACACACACACACACGCACAACAGAACAAATCGCATCTTTTCATATTTTTCTTCCTTGTTTTATTTTCGTTGAATGCATTTTAATTCGAATTACATACTTCTATCCACTTTTCAGTAGATGTTAGTTTAAATTCATTGAAATCGGTCGTTTAGGCTCGAAGCCTTGTGGACGATCGAAGCTGTGCAGGCTCCATCGTAGGAGCCGCCTCCAATCCGACGACGGAGAGGCTCTTTGGAGTACTTCCGGAACCCACACCGACAAATCGACGAACGTTCTTGGAAGCTCCGAATTTCAGGATCCAACAGCAACATTCGCCAAATCCGTGACATCATAGTCGTGTCCCACCTGATGACATCCTTAAACACTATCCTATCGAAAACGATCCGCGCTGACTCAAGATTCCCACATTTGGCGTACATATGAATAATCGAATTTGATACTAACGTACCGTAAGAAAACCCCGATTTAATGACATAGCCGTGCACCTGCTGCCCTTCTTTCGGCAAGGCTATTTCTGCATAGGCTGAAAGAATGCTCGCAAATTTCCATTCATCGGGTAAACACGACTCGTGCAAAAAAATTCGAAACATTTCCACAGCTTCTATGTTGCGCGAATTTTGTACATAGGCGCCAATCATGGCATTCCATGTGACCAAGTTTATTTCCTTCATACTACTTCGCTACATTTACCCTACATGTCAACCAAAGCTGTCTCCAACACTACATGACTCGAAAATCCTCTTCTAATCACACATCCATGGATGGATTTCCCGTGTGACAGAGCTTTAACTTTTGAGCAGGCAGGGAGCGTATTAATTAGTGTGAAGACATCCGGTGCCACACGGTGATCGCGCTGCATTTTTCTCAAACAAGAAAACGATACTAAACATCGGTCGTTCGACACAAATGTGCCAATCATTGCATTCCAAACCACCACATTTGTTTCCGAAACTCCAAAAAATAGATTCTCAGCTAAATAGACTTCGCCATATTTTCCAAACATGTCGATGAGGGAACTCCGAATCATCGAGTCTAATTCATCCCGATTCCTAAGCACCTGGCAGAAGATCTCCTTCCCGCCTAGCAAATGACACTCAATCGAACAAGCTATTAAAGCCCCGACATAGCTGAACCCGTCAACTTCCATTTGATGTTCCTGCATTTCCCGGAAATAAAACAAGGAATTCCCACCATCCCCGACTGAAACATAGCCAAAGATCATTGAATTCCAAGAAACTGCATCCCTAACAGGCATGTGCTCGAAAACTTTCTCCGAATCTTCGACACGCCCAGCCTTAGCATACATAACAATGAGTGCATTACATATGTAGACATCTGAATCGAGTCCAAATTTAATAACGGCGGAATGAACTTTCTGCCCTTCCTTCAAACTAAACATCCCCGTGCAAGATTTGATCACGAAAGGTGTTGGGGTGAGAAAAATAAGTGCTGCACCAAATCACTTTCGAACACCTATTCAAATGGGCCAACTTCCGAAGCGTGGTTATATCATAGTTATAACACCCTACTGCCAATTGAATGTATGTGGAAAATACAAAGCAGTAAATGAGACAAGGGTTTGTTTACCCGGTTCGGATTTAAACAATCCTACATCTGGGGATACCAATTCAGGATAAGTTCACTAATTAGTGCTGATTAAGAACATAGACAACCACAACTCCTTCAACTCATCCTCCTAACATGGTTTACCTTGGAAATTCCCTCCATAGGCTTATGTTGTCACAAACTTGTGCTGACAATGACAATGGAGCAAAGCTGCTCAGAATCTGGACGCCTCCCTGATCGGAACTCCGATTTCTCCTTCCTCCGACGAGGTCTCCATCAAGATAAAAGTGTCTAACACTCACTCAATATATGAAGAAGATAAGGGTTGGGGTTGAGAGGATTTAACTCACTTTTTCTCTCACTACACACACTCTCAAAACCTTCCAACAACCACACTTTCTCCTCACAATTATCTATAAAGTCATCTTGCTTTGCATGTAAAACAAAACCAATTAAAACCCTTTGCATATAAATGGAATGATGTATTCCTGCATGAAGTCTGTAACAGGTTGACCACCCAAAATATCCATTCATTTTGTCTTTTCTAAGCTTCCCAAATCGAGAAGAAAACACCCAGCAGGTTGCAGGCTGGTTGATGTAGCAACAGAAAAGACACATATAAGAAAGACAACAAATAAAGTGAACATGCAGGTGCCCATATGCCAAAATAAGTTGAGAAATTCTTGTTCCAACAAAAGAAAAAAGTAAAATGATCGGGTTTGATGTCTTCAATTTTCATCCAGTAATAGTATTCAACAGCTTTTTCAAATAATTCAGAATCAACCAGTGCCCTGATCATCACGTTCCAAACAAAAGTATTTGGTTTAGTCATTTCGTCGAACAGTTGGAGTGCATTTTCCAAGCAATCCGATTTCAAGTAAGACAACAGCTTTTTGATTGGTGAAACTGAAAAATCCAATCTCCTAATCGTTCTTCCGATTAGAGAGCTTGAGTTTCTCTTTAAACTGCATTCGATTCGACGCTCATGGCTTTGCGTAGTTTTTCTTGAAGCTGAAATCTTCACAGGAAACGCTCCTTGCTGTGAAATTGTGGGCTCTAAGCGGCCGTAAAAACCCAGCAAGGAAGTCGCCATTTCCCCACATTTTTTCTTTTTATTTAATCAAAGGAACACCAAAATCGAGACAGTTTCCATGTTTTCCGATTTGAAGATGGACGGTAGTATCTACAGTTCTCGGTTGGAAATTGGGAGCATAATGGGTTTGGTCCAGTCAAATTTGGGCTTATAAATTTTATTTTGGCCCAACAAAAATAGATTGTGCTTTTTGTTGGGCACTAAATTTAATTTGAAGTGGTCCTGCCATTCAAAATAAATACTTTCATATGTTTTCAGAAAATAAAAAATAAAAAAATCACGACAATGTGATTAATTAGTGAGAATGATTGATGAATAATTTTCCGTGTGGTGTGTTTCCGTTGAGTTTGAAAGTTTGAATATTTTTATTCAAATAATATTTAATATCTTCTATATTCAACTTTATACTATTTATTATTATTAGTATTATTGGATCGAGGAGATTATATATTTTAAGTATGTCTTTTATGATCCCTTAGTGGGTCTCGTTACCACCAGCTTTAAAGGCCGTACTTTTGTTTGGTGGCACCAATTTAAACTCGTGCGCTCCCATTTCAAAAAACATCTTCAACACAAATTTTTTTCTTTCAACTATCAAAGCACGATGTTTCAGACTATCCACTTACTTCACTGAGGACCCCAATATGTCACTAACTATGTTTAAGTATGTAATTTTATTATTGATTCAAGGCATGTGAAAATATGATTGCTTCTACTGTTGTTGAAAAATTGTTATCGACAGAACTTCACCCCGCTTCTTACGATCTCATGTGGCTTCAACAAAATAGTCGTGTTATGATCTCTGAACGTGTTCTGGTGCACTTCTCTATTGGTGATACATATGTTGATTCTGTTTGGTGTGATGTGGTTCCCATGGATGGCTGTCATTTTTTACTCGGGCGACCATGGCAGATTGATCGTCATGTTATCCATCACGGTCAACAGAACACTTACAGCTTTCTATTTCGCGAAATGCGAATAGTTCTCCATCCAATGGTTCAGCGCTCTCGTGGGACCTCACCTCCACCACAAGTCTTTTACTTAGATCAGGTTGCTTTTTGTGTGAAACTAGAGCATGCACCATTTGTGATCTTACTATTGGCATTGAATACAAAGAATGATCACTCAACTCCTGTTAATCTACAGCCTCTCTTTTCTGAGTTCAACGATATTTTTCATCTGAGCTACCGTCTGGTCTTCCTCTCTTCCAGAACATTTAAAATCATATTGACCTTATCCTAGGTGCTCCCCTTCCCAATCGTCCGCATTATCGCATGAGTCCGGCTGAGCATGAGGAACTTCGGCGCCAAGTTGAAAAGTTAATTAAGCACAGCCATGTGCAGAAAAGCCTTAGTCCATGTGTTGTCCCCGCTCTTTTAACACCTAAGAAGGGTGGCACTTGGTGTATGTGTGTGGACAATCAAGCCATCAACAAAATTATTGTTCGCTATCGGTTCCCTATTCCCTGTCTTGACGATTTATTGGATCAGCTTGGTGGGGCCACGATTTTCAGAAAGCTTGATTTACAGAGTAGTTATCATCAAATTCGTATTCGACCAGGTGATGAATGGAAGACTGCATTCAAAACGTTGGAATGTCTCTTTGAATGGCTTGTGATGCCATTTGGACTATCGAATGCCCCTAGCACTTTCATGTGGGTGATGAATCAAGTGTTGCACTCTCTTATCGGTACATGTGTTGTTATTTATTTCAATGATATCCTTGTTCATAGCCATTCCATTGCAAAACACTTAAATCACTTGCGTTTGGTTTTCTTAATCCTCCGGTGGGAGACATTTTATGTTGCTACACAGATTTTCACCTTCTTAGTAGATCGCATTCTATTCTTGGGCTATATTATCTCCGGTTTGGGTATTAGTGTGGATAGTTCTAAAATTGAGGCAATTTGATTTTGGCATGTCCCTATGACTATCACTATCGTTCGTAGTTTTCATGGCATAGCATCTTTCTACCATCGATTTATTTGTAACTTCAGTTCAATCATAGCTCCTATTACGGACTATATGCAATGAAAAGTGTTTCATTGGACTCATGAGATTGATTCTACTTTTGTCTTTATTAATGCACATTTGCTTGTCCTTTGGGATTTCTTTGTTCCTTTCGAGTTGACTTCTGGTACCTCTCGCCTAGGCATTGGTGTAGTGTTGAGCCAACAAGCGTCCTATGGCATTTTTTTAGCAAGAAATTACATGGGCTCCGGACTCGCTATAGTCATATCATCTAGAGTTTATGTTGTTGAGCGGGTTGTGCGTAATTGGCGCCATTATATCCATCAGCAAAAGTTTATTTTATATACCGATCTTGACGCACTACAACACCTCAACAATTTATCTTCTTCCCATGCCTCATAGACAATTTTTTTACAATAATTTACATTTATCCTACGGCACAAGTCTAGCACATCGAATTGGGTGGCCAATGCCCTCAGCCAGCGCCACTCAGTACTTCTTTATATGCGATCGACTGTTCCAGGTTTTGATATCTTACCGGCATCATATGATTATGATTCTTTCTTCGGTCCCATTGTCTTACAGGTATCGAAAGGTACTCGTACTAATGCAGGCCTCTGTCGGTTCTTTCGCGCCCATAGGTGGCTATATCTATGGACTTTGTGCTTGGCCTTCCCCGCGCTGAACGAGGTTTTGATGTTATATTTGTGGTGGTTGATCACTTCTCCAAGATAGCCCATTTTATTCCCTGCAAACGAACAATTGATATTGTTCATGTGGCATAATTATTCTTTCGAGAGGTTTATCACTTGCACGACCTTTCACAATCAATTGTTTCTAATTGTCATACTCGCTTCTTAAGCTATTTTTTAAGAAGCCTATGAGGTAAGCCAATATTCGTTTGGATTTGAGTACCGCTTACCACCCGCAAACGGATGGCCAAACAGAGGTCATAAATCGTTCATTGGCCAATATGCTTCGTTGCCTAGTTGGTGAACATGTTCGTTCTTGCGACTCTTGTCTGAGTCAAGCGGAATTGACTCACAATTCAGCAATGAATCGAAGCATTGGTTATTGTCCCTTTGAGGTGGTTTATGCAGTTATTCCTAGCGGGCCATTAGATCTTATTGTTGTTCCTCTATCCGGCACTGTTGATTCACACGCTAAAGACCTCATGAAAAAGCTTCAAGATGTCCATGCTCTGACTTCTCAACGCCTACACGTTTCTAATGTTAAATACAAGGCAGTTGATGATGCTCGTCGCCCATTGGAGTTCGAAGTCGGTGATTTCATGTGGGTTGTCCTCACCAATGACCGTTTTCCCGCGCATGAGTATAATAAATTTTATACGCGATAGATTGGCACGGTGGAGATTATTCAAAAGATCAACCCTAACGCCTATCGTTTGAAGCTCCCCACCCACATTCGCACTTCTGATGTATTCAGTGTGCAATAACTTATTCCTTACACCATATATAATGACAACGGAGATGAGATCGCTCATGATTCGAAGACGAATCGCCACCTACCCGGGGAGAGTGATGGAGATGAGATTGCAATGGCATTTATGAAAAAATATGACCGAGTTCACGCATGAGAGCAAATAAATAAACTTAAGTAGTTTTGACCTTTGTTTTATTTAATTTTTTATCTTATTTTATTTTTGGGCTTTTAATCATGCCATCAAATCTTTTATTCCCATTTCCCCTATTCCCCCTCTTCCCTCCAATAAAAGGTTGTCACATGTAACGAGAGAGAAGAAATTATCTATTTTTTTTATTATTTTATTTACTTCATAGTTTTTCTAAAATAAAATAAAAATTATATTCTATCTCAATTTTTATTATATTATTTTCTTAAAAAATATTATTTTTCTCAAGATATCACACTTACTATTTAGATTCAATATTTACATAATATTTAAAAAAATTATTTGAATTTGATATTGATTTTTATTTTGGATATAATATTTTATGTTTAAATAATAATAATTTTTTAAAAAAGTAACTAAATTGAATTAAAATTTCATATTATTTTTTATTTTATTTTTGAAGAAAATATTTTAATAAATAAAGAAAATATCTAAATCATAAATTTAATATTTTTTCATAAAATTTTCTATAAAATATCATTATAAATTTGTGTTTAAACAGTATTTGAACATTATATTTTTTAAATGTAGTAATATATATGTTTTTATGGTAAAATAGAAATATAATAAAAATTAAGATAGAAAAATTATGAATAAAATTTTATTAAAGATATATTTTTTGAAAAAAAATGATAAGTGATAGAATTATAAATAAAAAGAAATATATAAGTTTTATTAACGTTTTCCCTCATCTATGTGTCTCTATTTCATTGAAGGAAATAGAAGAAATAGAGAAAATTGGCTGTAGATGATTTGATGCCTTTAATCATTTGCTTAGGACTCTTCTTGAATATGTATATATATACATTATATCTATGATGTTCATCCCTACGGCCACGGAAGAGTTGAATAAAAAACTAAATTTCTCTATTGTTTGGCACTTGATTTTCACGTTTCTGCATTGTTACGTACGAAATTTAGAATTAGGTTAAAAGCCCAAGGTAAAAAGAAGAATGGGCCTGGTAATAGGGTTGATTGAACTGGCTGAAGGACACCGTGAGGAAATCAAGGAAAATAGATTTATTTCTAAGGAAAATACAGGACGGAAAGTCCTCAGGACGGAAGGACCTCAGGTCGGTAGGTTCTCAAGACGGAAAGACCTCAGGTCGGAAGGTCTTCAGGTCGGAAAGTCCTCAGGGCGGAAGGACCTCAGGTCGGTAGGTCCTCAAGACGGAAGGACCTCAGGTCGGTAGGTCCTCAAGACGGAAAGACCTCAGGTCGGAAGGACCTCAGGTCGGTAGGTCCTCAAGACGGAAAGACCTCAGGTCGGAAGGTTTCAAGTCGGTAGGTCCTCAAGACGGAAAGACCTCAGGTCGGAAGGTCTTCAGGTCGGGAGGTCCTCAAGACGGAAAGTCCTCAGGACGGAAGGACCTCAGGTC